ACTAAAAAATAAGTCATATTACACGATTTCATGCTAAAAGCTATGACACCTTATACCATGACAATCCTGATGTATCGTGTGGTGGTTTGTTCTCAGTCATCGCCAAGCCAAACTCGGTTAAAGTCAGAGGCGTAATACAATTCCGTTTGAGAACATGCATGTACGTGATTATATAAGTACCAATGCAATTTATATGTCGCAGCGGATGAACTACGAAGAGAACCTTTCACATATGTGAATAATATAACAGATGGTCGCCTTACACTTATGGCCGCATTAGCAGGTTTAACTGTACATAACTCGTGTTTACTTCCTCCAGGTGGGTTCATTATTCTAGGCGCCAACAGTAAGAATTTACACAAGGAGTTTGGGGACTGCCGACAGGAATTCTTTTAAGTGTTTGACATATTGGAGGCCCGGGGCAAATGGGTCAAGGTCGTGGAGGAAAGTGTTCCTAAATGATGTCGTCAATAATACAGCGACGTCTTATACACGGGTATTAGCAGTGTCATGTACCATATCGATATCATGTTTATTTCTAGATGTTGGTGAATGTGTTTTGTAGAAATGTTCATGTAGCACAGCCGGAGAACTGTTTATGTGACGTTTCGATGACTAGAACGGTACGTACTTTGTCACTTTAATAAGACAAATGAACAATGAAGCGTATGTACACAAAGGTGTTACATATGTCAAAATGATTAATCAAACCGACAAATCCATGTGGCTACGCTTTGTTTAATACATTGAACATTTTGTTCCAGTTCCAGTTGGTTTTTTTTTTAGCTTTCCGCACCAAGCTCTTTACTTTGTTTCTTGCCTTGACGTACTCTACATATTTGTTGTGAATTTATTGCCATGAATCTCCTCCAACATCTGTGATTTTTTCAACGGATTCTTCTGTTTCTACATCTAATGGTTATTGATGTTTCTTCTCTCCTACTTTTATTTTCGGAATGTGAAATTTTGGAAAAATATTGTCAGTGAAAAACTTCGGTGAAGAACCTCATTAAAGTGACACATTTGTTCTGCTTAAGTTAAATGATTTTATAAGCAGTGAAAAACAAGATTGTTAACAGAAACAAACAAACAAAAACTGATATCTTACAAACGTTGACAATTACACATAATTGTGGAAAATCAATCAGCATTACTTGTTGGTAAACAAAACGAGGACTACATTTCATGTGTGAGCCGAGTTGTCCGCCTTTAGTATATGGTATTGGAATACATCTGTTTTATTTGTGTTATTAACATCAACGTCAGCTCTGTTGTATTATACAGATGTTCCCAACGAATGATGACTAGCTATCATGTTTCTCTAACTGGAGTAAGTTAATTTTCAAATTGTACATTCACAAGATAACCAACCATCACGAGTTTGGGGACCTTTTTCTCCAATTATATCGCTTGCTTGTTGACGTCACAATTCGAAGATTGACCAATGAATGACGTCAAGGGTAACCAACATTGTTTACCAACTCCTAGCTGGTTTATCCAATGATTCAGGAGTGAAGAAACGTATAGTGCTCAGGGTCTTGAGAATTTATAGTTGGACCTAAACTAAGACCCTTCCATCTATGAAGAGTATTTGATTCTACCAAATCTGGGTCTTGAGAAGAAGATTTGTGAAATTTCAGTAAATTCAACCCTTTTTGGCCCCACCCATCAGCCCCTGGGGGTCAGTCATGGCTCATAGGTGCATACTATCAAACTGCTACCTAATACTGATAATGCTAACCCAAATTAAATTACTTCGAAAGGAAATTAAACAAATGTTGGTCCAAAATGTGATTTTCCTATATAAACTATAGTAAAGTTTACCCCCTCCCCAGGGGGAAACGTGAGACCCCAGGGTCATGAAATTCACAATTTTGGTAAAGCAGCTTAAGACCCTTCCATCTATGAAGAGTATTTGATTCTACCAAATCTGGGTCTTGAGAAGAAGATTTGTGAAATTTCAGTAAATTCAACCCTTTTTGGCCCCACCCATCAGCCCCTGGGGGTCAGTCAGGGCTCATAGGTGCATACTATCAAACTGCTACCTAATACTGATAATGCTAACCCAAATTGAATAACTTCCAATGGAAATTAAACAAATATTGGTCCAAAATGTGATTTCCCTATATAAACTATAGTAAAGTTTACCCCCTCCCCAGGGGGAAATGTGAGACCCCAGGGTCAAGAAATTCACAATTTCGGCAAAGCACCTTAAGACCCTTCCATCTATGAAGAGTAATTGATTCTACCATATCTGGGTCTTGGGAAGAAGATTTTTGAAATTTCAGTCAATTTGACCCTTTTTGGCCCCACCCATCAGCCCCTGGGGGTCAGTCAGGGCTGATATGTGCTTATTACCAAACTGCTACCTAATACTGATAATGCTAACCCAAATTAAATTCCTTCCAAAGGAAATTAAACAAATGTTGGTCCAAAATGTGATTTTCCTATATAAACTATAGTAAAGTTTACCCCCTCCCCAGGGGGGAATGTGAGACCCCAGGGTCAAGAAATTCACAATTTCGGCAAAGCACCTTAAGACCCTTCCATCTATGAAGAGTATTTGATTCTACCATATCTGGATCTTGAGAAGAAGATTTTTGAAATTTTAGTCAATTTGACCCTTTTTGGCCCCGCCCCTCAGGCCCCTGGGGGCTTGGGACTAAACCGGCAACCATTTCTGTTGACCTTTGTCCATGGAAGGTCCCAGCGAAATTTCATTGAAATTGGTTCAGGGGTTTTTGAGTAGAAGATTTTTGAAATTTTAGTCAATTTGACCCTTTTTGGCCCCGCCCCTCAGGCCCCTGGGGGCTTAGGACTAAACCGGCAACTATTTTTGTTGACCTTTGTCCATGGAAGGTCCCAGCAAAATTTCATTGAAATTGGTTCAGGGTTTTTTGAGTAGAAGATTTTTGAAATTTTAGTCAATTTGACCCTTTTTGGCCCCGCCCCTCAGGCCCCTGGGGGCTTGGGACTAAACCGGCAACCATTTCTGTTGACCTTTGTCCATGGAAGGTCCCAGCGAAATTTCATTGAAATTGGTTCAGGGGTTTTGGAGAAGAAGATTTTTGAAATTTTAGTCAATTAAACCCTTTTTGGCCCCGCCCCTCAGGCCCCTGGGGGCTTAGGACTAAACCGGCGACTATTTTTGTTGACCTTTATCCATGGAAGGTCCCTGCAACATTTCATTGAAATTGGTTCAGGGGTTTTGGAGAAGAAGTCGAAAATGTAAATTGTTTACGGACGCACGACGGACGACGACGGACAAAAGGCGATCGCAATAGGTCACTTGAGACTTTGTCTCAGGTGACCTAAAAATGCCACCCATTGATGATCATGTTTTAAACGAGAAGGGAGGAAAACACTCGATGTCGAAAGATCGACCCCACCTAACTTTCTTGCATCAAAAAACACATTTCTAGTTGATGTACAAAAATATGCCTAGAACCGTTTGAACAAAAGATCCCAGAGGGATCTTGGCGCCCACCTTTGTACCATCTTCATTAGTTCTTTGTCAGTTCGATCTTTTCCCATCTTTCCTCTAATCTGTTTGATCGAGTCATGTTAACAGTAAATGCACCTTGAGGTAACTTTTGATCTAAACTTAATACTGATGTGTATGAAGTGAACCTTCAAAGTGAGTTTGTCATTTCACATATTTACTAGTACAGTACTTAATGTGAAAGAAATAGAATCGATCATTGCAATATGAGAAAGATCTGTTTAGTTCTTCTTTTATACCATTTTGTTTTTATGAACAGTATCAGAACAATATATGCACAACGAGGGATCAAGGGGAATCTACATTTAAAATTTGAGAAAGATCCCTCCCGTACTTCCCGAGAAATGGCGATAACAAACTTTCACTATCAAAATCCAAGATGTCTGCCTGTCGGCCATGTTGTTTATCCGATCAGTCTCTAAAATTGCTCTGCACAGCTAGGACCAAGGGGAACCTACATACAAAATTTGAGAAAGATCCCTCTGGTACTTCTTGAGAAATAGCGATCACAAGAATTGTTTAAGGACGGAGGACGGACGGACGATGGACCACGGACGCAGGGTGATTTGAATAGCCCACCATCAGATGATGGTGAGCTAAAAATGAATAGCTTTTCTTTCAAAACCTCCTATATTCACGAAAAATATGTTTTCGTTCCGAAGACCTGATCTCCGTTTCTTCCAAAAAAAAAGGGTTTGGCAGTCATATAGGAGGTTTTTAATAGAAAAATTGTCCATCTTTCCAACGATGTTTAGCATTTTTTCGTACATCAATCAGAAATGTTGTTTTTGATGCAAGAAAGTTATGTGGGATCGATATTTTGACATCGAGAGCTTTCCTTCCTTGGCGTATACTACATGTATCATCGTTGGGGGTGGCATTTTTACCGAAAATTGATCTAAACACCCTAATGTAGGTCGAATATAGAGTTAACAAAACCTCAGGTCCCTGTGTTATAGTGGTTGTGGGAGATATATATATATAGGCTTAATAAAGGGGCAGATTGCCCTGAAAATTTAACAATTTTCTTTGTCTGCACTGTCGTTATTACTTCTTTGCCCATACCGGTAAATCTATTTAAGTAATACGCATCCAACCAACATTTGTTTGTTCGGATCCAGTGCCAATATTGGATCAGACTGTTGTTATTACTTATGATACCTATATATATATATATATCCGTTTCTGGTAGTATTTTCGAAAGGAAGATCGAGGGAAACATAATTCGTTATTTCTGGCTTCGCACTGGTGAAAGTTATTAAAGTGTGCACACAAAACGATGAAATATAAGTGGTATTATTTATCAGAAAAACAGGGTCGTCCTTTACATACATGTATTTGTACTTATAAGGTGTGTTGATAGGAAACATCCAGTTTGCGCGAACTTAGAACCAACATCACACTGTGAATTATCATGGTCATGGAAGTTAAGAATAATATAACGTCAGCAAAAATATTTAAAAGCATTAGTCGGTCAGAGAAAAAACACAACATAACAAACCATAAATAGTTTATTTTCTTATCAGCACTATTAAAATGATTAAGATCTAAATAACAATATATATTATACACTGACTCTTTAACCCATATTGCATACTGAAGCAGGTATTTAGGGTAACACAAATATACTAGTTCTGAGTTTGATAGTTACACCATGTGTATCATCCAGAAAACTTTTAGCTCACTAAACACTGGGAGTGGAAAGGTTTTTACACAACTGCATAAAAGTAAAACTTTAAGAAACCCTGATTGATTTTTAAATGGAGAACCAATGCAGCAAACGGTACGAAATGTTCCCACAGAGGTGTTAACGAATTGATTTCACTTTCAACTTCAAAATGTGACCTTCACTTGACGTCAGGGCTAGACAGCCGTATGAGCGCGTTAATAGTCTAATATTTCTATTTAACAATATTTTGAAATATCTTTCGAGGGATCTCAAAAAAGATTTAATATAAATATCCACAAGTCAATTAAAATGTTACTTAAAACTTAAAAGGAAAACAAAAAATGCTTTAAACTTTGACTTTTTGCGACTTACTCCCCCCACTTTTGTGCTCAATTTGTTAAAGATAACACATCCCAATCACAAAAAATAAAAACCACATATAATCTCCCTAAAAACTTTAAAACAGCACATTATAGCGACAGTATAAAAATGTAATAGAATACACAATCTCAATAAATAGTAACAATACAGACAAGCTGGTGACAACATCAGTTGACAGGAATGGCACAACATTTGGTTGTTTTCGTCAATCCAGACAGCACACTAAGCAGAAGCTCCAGATTATACAATATCATAGATAAAAATCAACAATTCCTTAATTCTTCCGTCACATTTTCTGAGTGGGTTTACTTCCCTATTGTGTTCTTTGTCCACTTCTGGGTGTTCCCTTACAAAACGTCAGCATTCCGTAATTTATATGTATATCTTTCTATAGATAATTACACCAATTTAAGAAAGCAAATTCAATCAATCTGTAATATTGAAAGATCATGTAATTTATTGGACGAATCAGTACAGAGAATATAGGAGTACAAAAGTTTTATTCTATTACATTTTAGTATTAAATATACCTCTCTCTCTCTCTTTATATCTCTCAAACATCACTGTAAAAATATGTATATAGGATTTCTGATATTGATGAAAGAATCATTATACTTAGGTGGTTGTAATTGTAAACATATCAATCGTAAAGAAATTCAGTTCCTTTGGCAAAAGTGTGTTTATTGAAAAACATATCAGAAAGAAAAGTAAAAATGCACGTGGCCTGCGACTTGTTACTGTTAGTATAAGGGGTTTCAGTACAGATAGGGACAATTGTGAAGTGTTATACAATGTACCACCTGACTTGCTAGGGTCTACAGGATGGTTATAAGTTTGTTATCGCTCGACAAGTCCAGACAAAACAGTAGCACTAGGACTAGTAGAACAGGCTTTTGAAAAATGCAGCACTTAACACAAACGTTAGACCAATGGATTAGGCAATTTAATTTTTTCTTATAATTTCATCAAAAACATCTATTTGTTTATAATTATTTCTATTATATATGAACTGATTTTTTTTTTTAAATAGGAGTTATTTACTGAAAACTCAAATGTAGTTTCAAAATGACACATTTTGACTCAGCCTTTATTTGCTTGAATTTAATATATATATCATTATAAGTCAGTAATAATGTCAATGTTTTATACGTATAACAATGTAAGTGAACAAAATGGATTTTTTATTTGTATTGCACCGGAAGCATAAAAAGACATTTAAAAGATATAAAAAAAACTTACTGTACACAATAGAAAGACAAACATATAGTTCTAAAAGAAGATATCAAAGAAACTTTGGTTGAAGGAAGATGGACCGTGTTATTAAACCGTTTATGAATCAGACCTTCCCATTGATGTCGGAGGTAATGATTGACAATACCCGTGTGTCTACGGCCATGATGCTGACCTTTGACTTTGATCCATGTATCTACGGCCAAGATGCTGACCTTTTGCTTTGATCCATGTATCTACGGCCAGACGCTGACCTTTGACTCTGACCCGTGTGTCTACGGCCAGACGCTGACCTTTCCCTAAGTGTCAGCAGCCAAGATCCTGGCTTGTCCATGGTGTGATATGAAAATCTCGGCGGGATAGCGTTGCTCCCAGGGCTCTCCATCGACCTGCATCGGCACTTTGCCCCCGTGTAACGTTATCTGTAAAACATAGAAAAAATACTTCTTTTGAAATAAGTTGCTGGGACTCATTTGGATGTCCTTTCATCTCCTAAACTTACATGTACAATGTATATACGGCTCAGGGCTGTTACATCCCTACATTAAAACAATTATCAATGACTGTCCTTATCTGTCTCTTTTGACATTGACGGTCCTAGCCTAGCTTTATTATCCCGACCTTGACTGTCTTAGCCTGTATTATCCTTACATTGACGGTACTAGCCTGTAGTATAGGCTAGTATCCAGACCTTGACGGTCCTAGTCTGTATTACCCGACCTTGACGGTCCTTGCCTGCATTGTCCCGATATTGACGGTCCTAGCCTGTTCTATCCTGGCCTTAACGGTCCTTGCCTGTATTATCCCGACTTTATCGGTCCTAGCCTGTATTATCCTTACCTTGACGGTCCTAGACTGTCTTATCCTGACCCTGACGGACCTAACCTGTACTATCCTGACATTTACTGTCCTAGCTTGACATTGAGTCCTAACATGTACTTTCTTGACCTTGACAGTCCCAGCCTATCTAATCCTGACCTTGACGGTCGTAGCAAATAGTATCCTTACCTTGACGGTCCTAGCTTGTCCTATCCTGACGGGTGCTGCCATCCCGACCTGCAGCTGGGCTATGTGGAATGAAGAGTAGAGGGCCATCACCTCAAGCAACCCATCGTCGTACCTGCAATACAAGGATTGGAATACACGTACATGTACACCTCTACCTGCGTATCAATTAGTGTATACATACTGAAAAAGGCGCGGCGAATTAAAGCTTGCTTAAAATACGGCGCCGTTCACGCATCAGCACGATAACAGGCCGATAAAACTAACCATCGCTTGCTTCCTTCAGCGTCTTCCGTACATAGAACATATTGGGGATCTACACAACAAAGGGAAACTGGCAAACTTATTATCACTGATACACATTCAAATTTCCTTGACGGTTAAGTTAATAATGGCGGCTTTGTTCTAGAACATTCGACTGCATCATTACTAGAACGACCGTTTGCGTCAATAGTAGTCGTAGACTAATGATATGACGTCAACAACGGTGAGTTATAAATAAATACAAATGTTTAAAGGGCTACTCAAATTAATTTATTTAAGGTTTTACAGCTATGAAAAGAAGAAATAGTGTTGCTGACTATGTATTGCCTAAATTTACTCGCATATCGATATAAATTGACAATATGATCTAAAAATATTCTCTACACATATTTAAAACCTATATTTCAAATTGGTAAAAACAGCATCAACACTAGTACTACAACCTAGACTACTACAAAGTGTCAATATATAGCATTACGTCGTTTTATAAGAGTTGTCTCCCTTGGTGAGTGCACCTACAGCAAGGGTGACACTAAAGACACGTGACACAGATGTCGAGATGTACAGGGCTTCTTTACAACTTGTCACGAGACGTAAACAGTGAATGTTACTTTAATATTTTATCTAGTCGTGGCAGACTTCGGGGACGTTACACCACTGCCACGTTCAGATTGATACAGAGTGCGGTGTGACTGGGGGATGTGGGGAGATAATGATCTGTGCTGGGTGATGGAGACCAGACACTCTCACACACATGTCGGGGAGGACATCGACACCCCGAGAGTGATGCCTGGGGGTCGCTATGCCACTCTAATCTCCAACATATCACATCGCAGACACGTCTGATCGGCCAACCCAGGCCGTAATGCTTGTCGACACCTACTGGTGGAAACTGGGCCACGCCAGCTCACTGGACATAATTGCATCGACATGTTTTCACATAAATATTACAATGTTAAATGTGAACAGTCAGTCATGGTGGTTCCTGTTCAAGTCCTGCGATGTCAAGTCATTAAAAGCAACTGTACCTTGGTGTCTTGCTGATCCAACAAAACGAAAGGATCGCGTTTCATCACCTAAATCAGAATTATTAGTTGACCATGGAAGCATACCTTGGTGGTCGAAACTGCTGGTGACCTTCGTCCAACGTCCAGGGCAGACAGCCTCCACCCCAGCTTGCGATGTTGAGGATGACTAAGCCCTCTATGTCTGGTAAGGCCACCACCCGGCCGTCCAACTCCACCTGTATTGTAAATAGATTATGACGACAACCAACACTACTTATACACGTCTAACAAGGCTAGTACAAACAAGAGGTCCGTTGGACCTGTATCGCTCACCTGGTTTTATATTTAAAGGGGCATCACGCTGAAGTAACTTTTTTGTGTCTTTTTTTCAAATACTACATAAACATATTAAGTGAGACTCCTTATGGAAAATAACGATCGGATTTGGCGGAAATAGATTCATAAACATGATTAAATCTAAGATAATCATCGGTATTTCTACCTGTCTGACCAACGTTTTGTTCAGGGATTTCCCTCTACTAGCGCATGCGCATAGCACACCATTTCTTTGTAAACAAAATGACTGGCCATGTGAAGTAAGCGAAAGAAAAGTGTTGTACCGTGTCAGCTACGAAGTGAAAAGTTGACAAATAGTCAAAAGATAGCGCAAGGGGTACGTTACGGAATCATTATTGCAGGTGGGAAGTATTCAAAGGAGAAAATAACTGCCCCTAGCAGTTAGTACGGTCACGGACTAATTCCGTGGTACGGTGCATGTACTCTTCCGGATTGCCGGTTATCGACAGAAATGCTAGCGCTGTTTATGTAATGAATAAATATCTAAAACTATTAACCTCGCTAGTAGTAGTATCATTGTGTGAGTTTGAACACAGATGAACTTAGTTTAATATGTTAATGGCCATTTATCGGAGAGAGTTTACTTTGTGTTTCTATAATTATACAGTGGTTTATGCGAAAGGAAGGGATAAGTGACTGGTTAGTTTGATTTTGCCACGAGGCCCTCCAAGGGATAATTGTTGTGATGGCCAGGGCGTATTCTATTCTGTCCTCTTTCGGTACTCGGGGTCAAATGAGATACGTGCGCTATTAGATTTACATAATTTATAACATTACCGGGATCAGTAAAATTGTATGATTTAATTATATTGCTAAATTAAACGATTTTTTGTTTGTTTTGACATGCAAGATTTAAATTAGAACTAATATGAATACCCGGCCTCCGCTGGCGCGACGACGCAATATATAAAAAAAATCGCTCTTCGTCAGAAAGCTACGTAATGTCAAAATGACGGACCAGGATGAATAACTGAGGAAGGAGAACCTACTTCCAGTAAATAGGAACGCATATTTTTTTTTTTAAATCGTAATTTTTCAACAGTTCATGTTTTCATATGATGTTGACTTCAACCTTTTCTCTATAAAGAATTNGGGGTCTTTTATTACGTTGTAAAAATGGCGCGTGCTGCCGATAACTACGACTTCTGTTTCGGACAAAAGGAACTGATTAAAGAGAAGTTGTCTCAACATAAAAAAGGTGCATTTACAAGTATGCTTTTATCTCTGTACAGTATTGAAAAAAATAATTATCAAGTATTGCAACACTTTCCATAGCTGACACATATTCTACATGTATACGTAGTGGTTTTGCCATACAGTTTATTGTGTGTGATGGCTAATATGACTTACTTAGTGTTAGCGTATGGAGACAGTGAAAGTGGGAAAGAGAGTATACATACATTTATATGCATGGTCTAGAAAAAGAAATTGGCCAAAGACATTGAGTTGTACAATTTAATAAATAAATTCACTAACGTTTCTCTTTTTTATACGCGTGTAGTTTGTCATTGCATATATGCACTTTATGTAAACATTTGAAAAGGGATACAGAAATGTTTGTCCCATGGTTGAGGGAAGGTGTTTAGCCCCGTACCATATGCACCGGTCACATTCCGGTACTAAATTCATTATATATTTTTTATATATATCTACTTTATGTTTATGCCTATTATCATTGTTGACATTTAATTGTAAATGTATAACAGGAGGAGGCTGTGATAAATTGTTAAAACTGGAGTGCCCCATCCCTTGTTCAATTTTATTGGCAACAAATATATGTTTAAAGTTAAATAAATTTAAATTCTGAATATTGGCAAGTGTGCAATTAACTTCTGATGATGAATAATTATTGTTCAATAAGTTTGAATACGGACTTAGAAAGCATATTACTTGGTTTCATAGTGCGCTAAGAAGTTGTAGTTGCCTGACGGCCCCTCTCTTGGGGCCCCTTTGAAAACCGTTTACTGCCTAGTCAGGTGACGTTATCGGCGCTATTTTTAGCAGGGCTTTCCCGAACAATTCAAGTGGTCAAACTGGACATTTGGAACTGACTATGAATATGGGGATAGCGAGGTAACATAA